TTCTTCTCACGGCTGAAAGTGTTTGAACACTTCAACCCAAGACATGTTTCCATATGGTCGAACATTACGTGGGAGTGGGTGCCGGTCACAAGAGATTAAGGATATGGAAAAGATTTTGTGTGATTCCAAATTTCACACGAGATTAGGTACCCGTCAGAGGCCGATATTGAGGGCCCTGCCATCACGGACTGAGCCAACGCAGGGCAAGGGGGGTGAGCCACCCCCCTCAACTTTTGAAAAACATTTAATATAGTGCCCCAATTTTTGTTTGTTAAAAGTTTTGTTTTTATAGACTGAATTTTAATAACCATTTTAAATATAGAGAGAACATTTGAGACCTAAATAATGAGTTTTCAAAAAATAAGGATATGATTCATATAAAATGAATTTTATGTCAATTTGATTAATTTGGAATTACGATTTTTAACATTTCCTCACCTATTAAGTGAAAAAAAAAAAAAGAAAACTTTAATTATCTACTTAAACAACTTTAAATTTGACGTTTTTTTTTAACACTTTTTTTATTTTTTCCTTAACATTCTATGTAATAATTAAAAAGTTTTTAGCATCTATCTATGTTTTTTTGAAAGAAATATTCTAGTATTTTTTATTTTATTCTTCAATTTAATATTGTATGATTTACTATTGTGATATTTTATTTTTTTTCTTTTAATAAATACTTTTATTTCTTATTTTTATTAAGGATATATCAATGGATCACAAGTAAATCTTTTAATCAAGGAAAGAAGATTTAAAAAAAAATAAACTAGTATTTTGAAAAAAAAACTTCAACAATAATTTTCACCTCTTCTAACCAAGTTCTTCATTTAATATCTGAATTATAAAATAAAAATCTCATACTATATACAAAACAATTTTATAGAGTGCGAAAGAGGGTGGTCGTTTCCAATTCGAGGCAGAAGTACTGGCTACAGACTGGGCTAAATGCCCAATTAGTTGTTTTGCAGTAGGGTGTTGATTACAAAATGGCTAGCATTAACAAATGAAAAGAATATGAAAACATGGGACTAAGCAAAGCGTGATATCAAAAATGGTAAACAAATATAAAGGCGAGGTTATGAGAACCACTAATTTTATTAAGATAATCAATTTTATAAAGGCGAGGTTTAGGGGGTCTATTAAATACGTGGCAGCCACATCATTAAACACGTCACCACATCAGATTAAAGAAGTCAGGTCGTGTCCACCTCAAGGCCTTTATGCCACATAATGTCTCATCCGAGAGAGTTCGATATGCACGTGACTTGGCATAACACTTCTAAATTCATTGCAGCTATAAAAATTAATTTACGTTGTTAACCATGTAAAGAAAAAATGTTTAGGAAACAAATAAGAGAGTTTGGCCAATCAAAAACTATTTCCCACACCGCTCTAAACATTCCATGTACCTAGCTAGCTAGCTAACATACCAATTCAATGTGTATTATGAACCTAAAAGTATGAATTTTCCTTTTAATCCAACAATACATGAATTTAATTAATAAAGGAAGCTGCTAGGACTTACCCAGTAAAACCAGTACGTAAAGTCCCATACATATCCAGCTATTGGAAGAGAAAAAACACTTGGCGATGTCGCACATACAAAAGACTTGCAAAGAACGATTAACGTTAAATATGAAAGACACACACCGATTGAAACTATATCTAACAGCACAACATTTAAAAGAACAAGGAAAGAAACACCTTGACACGGTTGTCAAAAACTGGTAGGCCTGTTTTACATGCAACAGTGATTGTTGGTAAACATATTTAACACTAAGTTCCCCCTATTTTGGTGCCCGAAGCGCTGCTGATGGAGAAATGAGAGAGTTTCCATTTGGCAGATGGCAGTAGAATGTTAAGGCAGTTCTAATTCTTGGTTTCATGCTGCCATAAACAAGAAGCAAAACGTACGGATTGTCAGCATCTATTGCAATATTAATCCTTACCCCTGTTAGAATTCTGCAAACCAACTTGCAATCAGATAACAACACAACATAGGACAAATTGCTGCTGACCTTCAACTTTCAGTTGAGAACAATGACGTACAGAACAAAATTGACTAAGCAGTGTCAACAAGTATGAAATGAAATATGAATGCATAACACCCAGCAAGGCAGGTACACCATACTGACGTAGAGATATGTAGCACTGTTCCATGCCCAAAGGGACTCAACCCAATTCCAGAAATCATCAACATTAGTGCTGCCAAAACCTGAAAACACCCCTTTCACTACAAGGAAAGTTGCTGGAGGAAAGGCAATATGCCCTACAACCAGATTACAAATCACCCTAGAAAAGCTTCTCAAACTTCTAGCTCTAAGATCAAGCCTCAAAGGTCGAGCCAACAAACAAGTCGGGACCAACAGTAAAGCACCAATTTCCGCTGTAGCAAAATTAACGACTGACATGAGTCCCAAACCAATGAAGAGAGCTGCAATAGTCACTGATTTCAAGAGTGCCCAATCTCCTTGTGGTAGAGATGTATTTGCATGGGGAAAAGGAGAAGCCAGGATCGAGTACAATACCTTTAGGCTAAGCACTGAAAGCAAAACCCAGATCACAAAGCTAGTTGTTGGGGTGTGATCTGGTATCTGGCAGATGAAATATGGAAGGAAGGAAACAACAACACCCCATAAGTGAATGATAAAAACTACTTTTGCTGCATTAAGCCATCTCCATGAGCTAACTGTGATACTGTGTTCATCAGCAGCAGGTAAAGGAGACAAAGTGGACTTCTCCTGCTTTAAACTAGAATTTGAATTATTGGCAATGATATAAACAAAAGCCGCCACCATTGGAAGTGGAGCTATGAGGAGCGCAAATGCAATTATGTAGACTCCTACTGAGACAAACTTATTGGGAGATGTTAAAAGGTATAAGAAAAACGACTGGTGAAACTTCTCAAGAAGGTTATTCACTGATTGGATAACTCCTTCAATAAACCTGCATCAAGCAGAGGCTAAAACCAACTTTTAGCCCCTCACCTTACAAAATTAGTAGGTTTTAGCTCCTAACCTTATAATATGACACTTTTAGCCTTTTACCTTACAAATTTGGTAGGTTTTAACCCCTCATCTTACAAATTTGGTAGGTTTTAGCTTCTAACCTTATATTATGACACTTTTTGCCCCTTATCTATACAAATTGAAGAAAATAGCTCACACTTAACATCAGATATAATGTTTTGTTTGTTCTGTTAGTTCTGCTAGCTAACTGTTAGTTCTGTTAACTGATTGTTAGCATCTGTTAGCATTCCGTTAATGGAACTAACAAATAAAATTGAATTTAAATTTCATGTTTTCTAAAATAAAATACTAATGGATAACAAAATGTTATAACCTAATATTACGTGAGAGTTATTTTCTTCAATTCGTATAAGTGAGAGGCTAAAAATATCATAATATAAGGTGAGAGATTAAAACCTACTAACTTTGTAAGTTGAGGGGCTAAAACCTATCAAATTTGTAAGGTAAAAAGCTAAAAGTGCCATATTATAAGGTGAAAGGCTAAACCTATCAACTTTGTAAGGTAAGGGGCTAAATGTTGGTTTTTGCCTCAAGCAGAAGGATAACCTTCAGGAAAATGAGAGTAACAGTAAATTATCAAGATGCTAAACAAATTATGAAACTCGTGTACTCCTAATACTTCTTAACTACAGTTAATAACTTTCATTTAAATCATCCTCAAGAGTTGAATTTAGAAGTCACAATCATGTATCAAAGATGACTTATTCTGCAAGACTGATCCCAATTTTGTAAGTTTCAGGCAGCATCTGGAAATAGGAATTCAAGTTACAAAGAGGAATTGATGTGCATGAGCACTTACTAGCCACCTCTTAGAAAGAAATCATTGCGCCTGACCTTCATATCAGAAGTAAATTTGGGTGAAAACTCCAAAGTGATAGCATCAACCTGGTAATCACGAAATGCACCATGTGGACCTGTGGGAACACCCAGGGCCTGACAACAGACAGAGATAAAGTATATCTGTGCTTGGTAATAGAGAATAGCAAGAACATGCAACTTCTTAATTTTCTTGATCCTTCAATTTGATACTTAAAGTGACAGATATTTGGCATCTAACACCCCAAGAGAAGAAAGCAGGAAATTAATAGATAAACTAACCAAAAGAGGACGCTACCTGAGAGTACAATCAACTAGCAAGTGTAGCAGTGCCTTCAATATAATCTGTAGCAAGGATGCCAAACTTCCATTCAGGATTTAATCTTCTAGCCACTTCTCCCACATAATCAATTATTATTGCCAAACCTTTGGGCAAACTGCAGTCAAGTAGGGACCACAATCTCTCTACCTTCACACGAAAACCTTGCCTATAATGAGCTGCCAAGTAATATACAATATTGATGAGGTCCAAGTTTGGGATCTGCCGATGCCTCAGCATAAATGCTAACCATGTCTTCCAATTCTTCAGTTCTGTCACTGACCTTCAAGACCGGAACAGCAGCCATAGTTCCAGCATGTCTAAAATCACCAGTTATGAATTTGCCTTCTGACTCATAAAGATTCTTAACATCATGGCACATCTCCACATTTGGAGAACTCAGACTGCTAAATTTAGGCACATGATAATCTTTTAACCAAGCAGCAACAGAAGCATATTCTCCATATCGTGAATCTGCAACAACCCATATGATATCCCTTTGCCAGCCAAGTAACTTGACTGAGCAAGGAAAATACTGAGAATGCAATACCTACGGAGAAGGACTCATCAGCACGTGGAGCCCTTACTATCCCAATAGTGTTGATGCCATATGATGAGCAACTGAAGTTCTCTTGAGCTCCAAAATCAGGATCAGAGAAAAAGTGCAGTGGATGAAACCTATTTGACTGAGGGTGGAATTTGTGATAACTAACTTCATCACCCAAGTCTGACATGTACTTTGCTATGATTCCCTGACCACCTCTGAAATGGCAATAGAAGGTGGTTGAAGGCACAAGTATGAACATCCAGAAAAAAGTATGAAGTTGGAAAATGATAAAGAAATAGAATCTGAAAATTAAGCACCCCATCAACATTCCATATCTAAAACCATGGAACAAAGAGGCAAGTTGTGTTGTATTCTAAAGTTTGTATGAAAATCAAGCCAAACTGACGCAGCATTTGAAAAACTAAGACAAGGTCACCTTCAAATATTTCTAAACAGGAAAGATAGGCAAAGGTAACCTAAACATCATAACAGACACTTACATTCCCCCATTCAAATATTTAGAATTCAGGTTGGTTAGATCCTTAACCAATTTATTTCCACCCAAAACCTCCTGATTAGAAATTATGGGACTTGCAGAACCTACAAAACAATAAAATTGAACCCTCAGAATTTCTTGTAATGCCAAACAAGACAATATAAATGCACCCATAAATACTTAAGAAACAAATGCATTAAAAAGGCCAAAGAGAAAAGCAAGGTATTTCAGCTTCCTATTTCTCGTTAACATCCTGCACTCAATTAAAATATTAAACTGCAAATTCCTACTCAACCTGACTAAAGAAACGACCGAATTTGGCACTTTTAAGTTGAATTTTCTACATCTAAAGAATAAAAGAATTCACAAATTTATGAGTAGAGAAACCGGAACGGAAATGGAAGAAAGGAAATGGAGCGACCTGGCATGAGGGCATTTTCGGAGATGTAAGTGTTCTTGGCGAGAACAGGAAGGAGGAGCAGAGCCAGAACACCAGCAGTGCAACAAACAACACTATAAAAAATTAAAGAGAGAAACAGCAGATTATAGGCGATTGAATCGAATCCATATATGAACTAGAAGGAGAAAGAATGTGGATTCAAGGAGACAAAATCTACCTGACGAGGAAGCTGTGAGAGATGAGGAAGATGCCGAGACGCACGATCGGTCTCGGTTTCGGTTTCGGCGTCTCCTTCTCCGTTGGAGTCTCGCTCTTACAGTCGGCCATGGTTACGATGGTTCCGAGCAGAGCACCGATCTGTGGCCGGATCTTGGACAGGAAAAGTGCTGTGTTTGCTGAAAGAAATGGATGAATCCGACGAAGTTTATAGGATTGGGCTATTTCTGGGCTCTGTTCAATTTAGCCTATTTTCTTTTGGGCCTGTCGATTTAGCCAGTTAACCGAGCAATAATTAGTCTCGCTGATTAAAAAAAAAAAGGTTTCTCCGTGTCTATTTTCTAATGCCAAATTAGTTGCAAGTTGCTAATTTTCATGGATTCTTAAAATTTATTTGGCGTTTTTAGGTGCTTTTTGGCTTGTCATTTTTTTTTTTTTTTTTTGGTAATGATACTCTTATATATCGTTCAACATTGTCAAATAAAAATTTTGGATTTGTAGATTTTTCTTTTTTTTGAATTGATAAGGGTTTCACCTTCTTTATGCTTCTTATGGTGATGTTTTTGCATTGCCTGATTATGAAATTCTTGAATTTCACTACTGACTACAGAGGTGTGGGACTCTTCTATTTTTCTTTAATTTCTTAGGGAGAATTTTTTTTTTTGGTACATTAAGCAGCGTTTAAGTCCTAATTAATCTAAAAGCTCTAAATCTATATACTCCTATCAAATCATTCCTAATATATTCATATACTTGATTAGGAGTTCCCTCAAATATATGAAGGCTTTTCTCCAAATGGTAAAAATTAGAAGCCATGTGATCAGCACGATAACTTAAATGCAACTTACATTGCCACTCTTAATTGATATAGTCCCTGTACTTGTTTGATAACCAGTTCAGCATGTTGCTTGTATCCTTTTCAACAAATTACTTCTGTTTTGCGAGCCAACCACCTCTAGCTGCGGACACCCCGAAATTTTTGATGCAAAAAGAGTTGCCACAACAATAGTACTAATGAAAACTTGTAGATGTAGGATTCTAGGTATTATTTTCGAATAATTTGAGATTCTAAGACTATGTTGGAAAATTTTTCAAACTCACTACAATTTGAAATTATTTTTATGAAATAGAATTATCCCGGATAATTCTTTCTTTTATTTCAAATAAATCTTTGAGTTGGGTTGGGCCTTGGCTTGTTTAGTAATTTTTTTTTGAAGGAGAGGCTAAAATGGGCCCTTGAAATCTTCAGCCGTGAATAATTAGTTCAAAAACGGTAAAAACCCTTCTTAAGCCCCTAGACTTACCCCAAATTAGCATTTAAGCCCTTAAACTAAAATGATGCAATTAAGCCCTTCAACTCCCCAACTGATGCAAATAAGCCCTTCAACTTAGATTTGTAGCAAAAGTGCCTACACCTATATTATTGTGTTGACACTCTAAGTAGTTTTTAGTTTAGAAAACTCGTATTTTTAATCTAATCCTATTTTTTTGGTACTTTCCTTTGCCCCAATTAATTTAGAATCGATTTGTGTCAAATCTCATAAGGAAAAAACTTTTTCAATACCTATCTCTCTATTTATAATATTCAAATTTAAAACCTTATTTTAAAAAAATCCAATTCTTTTTATTTAAACCCAAAGGTCGTTGGGAATTCTGTCCTACTTTTCTACTATAGCTTTTTTTAAATAGATCAGAATCTGGAGTTTAATTGTAAAATAATTATATATCTTATTTTCATTAATAAAAGTTGAAGATATCACATACATTATTCTTTTATAATGTATGAATCATGAATAACGTATGTGGTATCTTTAATTTTTATTAATGAAAATAAGATATATAATTATTTTATAATTAAACTCCAGATTCTTATATTTTAAAAAAAAAAAAAACTCTAATACAAAAGTAGGATGAAATTTCCAATAACCTTTGGCTTTAAATAAAAAAAGTTAGTTTTTCTTAAATAAAGTTTCAAATTTGATCTTATAAATAGAGAGATAGGTATTAAAAGAGTTTTTTCTTTATGATATTTGAATTGAGTCGATTTCAAATTAATTGGGGCAAAGGGAAGTACCAAAAAATAGGATTAAATTAAAAATACAAGTTTTTTAAACTGAAAGCTACTTAAGGCTTGTTTGGTACATCAGTTAAAATTCAGTGGATAGCGGATAACAGATAACGAATAGCGGATAGCGGTAGTAGGTAGAGGATAGTGGGTAGCGGGTAGTGGGTAGCGGGTAGCGGGTAGCGGGTAGCGAGAGGCGGTTAGCGGATAGCGGATAACGGATAGTGAAAAGTGGGTAGCAAATGGTAAATAGCGGATTTGATAAATATAACTGTTTAGTTATATAATAATTAGCGGTTGTTGTTTAACATTAAATGACTAATAAG